AAAACTGCCTCAGGACCTTGCTAACGGGCCACTGAAAGTTTAACAAGATCGGAGATGTACTTTTGGAGTTATACCCATCCAAGTCAGTCACCGTTAACATTAGCGAGATAGGCATTTGAATATCAATGTGGCCGCTGTACCAAAAACGCAGAAGTGTCATGAATAGAGACTACCACCATTCGATGGAGGTCACTTTGGACTATATATGCCGTAATTTTGTGCATATTGGTGAGTTCTTTTTTGTTGACTTTGGCCGTATCACCAAAGATATCAAATTTTCCAACCAGCGTACAAAAGTATTGAGAAGGCGTCATGGGTAGGCACTTGACCAAAAACTGCCCCAGGGCCTTGCTAACGTGCCAGTAAAAGTTTAAAAAGATCAGAGATGTACTTTTGGAGTTATACCCATCCAAGTCAGTCAGTGTCAACATAAGCGAGATAGGCATTTGAATATCAATGTGGCCGCTGTACCAAAAACGCAGAAGTGTCATGAATAGGGACTACCACCATTCGATGGAGGTCACTTTGGACTATATATGCCGTAATTTTTGTGCATATTGGTGAGTTCTTTTTTGTTAACTTTGGCCGTATCACCAAAAAAATCAAATTTTCAAACCCGCGTACAAATGTTTTGAGAAGGCGTCATGGGTAGACACTTGACCAAAAACTGCCCCAGGGCCCTGCTAACGTGCCACTAAATGTTTAACAAGATCGGAGATGTACTTTTGGAGTTATACCCATCCAAGTCAGTCAGCGTTAACATTAGCGAGATAGGCATTTAAATATCAATGTGGCCGCTGTACCAAAAACGCAGAAGTGTCATGAATAGCGACTACCACCATTCGATGGAGGTCACTTTGGACTATATATGCCGTAATTTTTGTGCATATTGGTGAGTTCTTTTTTGTTGACTTTGGCCGTATCACCAAAGATATCAAATTTTCCAACCAGCATACAAAAGTATTGAGAAGGCGTCATGGGTAGGCACTTGACCAAAAACTGCCCCAGGGCCTTGCTAACGTGCCACTAAAAGTTTAAAAAGATCGGAGATGTACTTTTGGAGTTATACCCATCCAAGTCAGTCAGTGTCAACATAAGCGAGATAGGCATTTGAATATCAATGTGGCCGCTGTACCAAAAACGCAGAAGTGTCATGAATAGGGACTACCACCATTCGATGGAGGTCACTTTGGACTATATATGCCGTAATTTTTGTGCATATTGGTGAGTTCTTTTTTGTTAACTTTGGCCGTATCACCAAAAAAATCAAATTTTCAAACCCGAGTACAAATGTTTTGAGAAGGCTTCATGGGTAGACACTTGACCAAAAACTGCCCCAGGGCCCTGCTAACGTGCCACTAAATGTTTAACAAGATCGGAGATGTACTTTTGGAGTTATACCCATCCAAGTCAGTCAGCGTTAACATTAGCGAGATAGGCATTTGAATATCAAGGTGGCCGCTGTACCAAAAACGCAGAAGTGTCATGAATAGCGACTACCACCATTCGATGGAGGTCACTTTGGACTATATATGCCGTAATTTTTGTGCATATTGGTGAGTTCTTTTTTGTTGACTTTGGCCGTATCACCAAAGATATCAAATTTTCCAACCAGCATACAAAAGTATTGAGAAGGCGTCATGGGTAGGCACTTGACCAAAAACTGCCCCAGGGCCTTGCTAACGTGCCACTAAAAGTTTAAAAAGATCGGAGATGTACTTTTGGAGTTATACCCATCCAAGTCAGTCAGTGTCAACATAAGCGAGATAGGCATTTGAATATCAATGTGGCCGCTGTACCAAAAACGCAGAAGTGTCATGAATAGGGACTACCACCATTCGATGGAGGTCACTTTGGACTATATATGCCGTAATTTTTGTGCATATTGGTGAGTTCTTTTTTGTTGACTTTGGCCGTATGACCAAAAATATCAAATTTTCAAACCCGCGTACAAAATTTTTGAGAAGGCGTCATGGGTAGACACTTGACCAAAAACTGCCCCAGGGCCCTGCTAACGTGCCACTAAGTGTTTAACAAGATCGGAGATGTACTTTTGGAGTTATACCCATCCAAGTCAGTCAGCGTTAACATTAGCGAGATAGGCATTTGAATATCAATGTGGCCGCTGTACCAACAGCGCAGAAGTGTCATGAATAAAGACTACCACCATTCGATGGAGGTCACTTTGGACTATATACCCTGTAATTTTTGTGCATATTGGTGAGTTCTTTTTTGTTGACTTTGGCCGTATGACCAAAAATATCAAATTTTCAAACCCGCGTACAAACGATTTGAGAAGGCATCATGGGTAGGCACTTGACCAAAAACTGCCTTAGGGCCTTGCAAACGTGTCATCAAAAGATGAAAGAGACGGTGATGTACTTTGGGAGTTATTGGCCTTTAACCCTCGCCGGACCTATTGGTTTTCTACATACGCGCCGGCCGAGGGGGGGGGGGCGGGTACGACCCCCCCCCTCGCCGTTTCGCCCCTGGTGGAGCTAGCGCGTCGCGGAAAAAACGAGCGTGTGCGCCGTTACGAGACGCAGAGATTGGTACCCGATTTTAAGGTCCTAGGTCAACCGGTGACCTCTGAGGTCAGGTCAAGTGCCCCAAGGTACGGTTCAGTTTTTGGTGAATAACTTCGCAAAAAATGGCCGCAGAGCGCCGATTTTGGCAGCATCGTGTTCGTCTCGCTCAGGCGCGTCGAATGATATACTTTTTGTCCGGGTCAGGTCAACTTGGGGTGTTGACCTCAGGTCAAGGTCAGGTCAGCACCCCCAGGTCACGAAGTTGGTCGAAAGAGGTCATGTCGCATATCATTCGATTCGGCAGGTCTTCCTGAGTCCATTGGTGGCTTTCCCGACTCGCTAGCTCAATTTGATCAAGAGTTATTGACGAAAAACTAATATGACCTTGATGACGTCATAAATGACGTCACGCAAGGTCAACATTGCAAAAGTGACGCATCTAACCTTGCAAGGAGTGCATAAAATCACGATTCTGTGTGCTTGAGATAGTTGGAGATCGTTCCCGGTGCCAGAATAGCAGTTTGAATTTTTCCCCATTGACTTATAATGGTGAGGTCACGAAAATGACCTGACCTCATATGACCTTTAGGAAAAATCCGAGATATACAAGTTGTGGGACTCATAATGGATACTAGATCCTGCAAGTTTCATTTCCCTGTGACATCTCCTTTGGCAGTGAGGGCGTTGCGAAGTTGCGACATCTGAAGACCGTGCAGAGGTTCACTTATGACGTCATAGGTCAGTGACCTGACCTGACCCAAAAATGCGGTTGGTGTCAAAAGATGCGGCTTGGATCAAAGGTCAGGTATGCCAAGTTTCAGCTCTCTATCGCCAGCGTGTTCGGAGCTATCGCGAAAAAACCCTATGGGGGGGGGGGCGGCACCCGCCCCCCCCCCTCGGCCGGCGAGGGTTAAGTCAGGCAGTGTTAACATTAGCGGGATAGGCATTTGAATATCAATGTGGCCGCTGTACCAAAAACGCAGAAGTGTCATGAATAGAGACTACCACCATTCGATGGAGGTCACTTTGGACTATATATCCTGTAATTTTTGTGCATATTGGTGAGTTCTTTTTTGTTGACTTTGGCCGTATGACCAAAAATATCAAATTTTCAAACCCGCGTACAAACGATTTGAGAAGGCTTCATGGGTAGGCACTTGACCAAAAACTGCCCCAGGGCCTTGCAAACGTGTCACCAAAAGTTAAAAGAGAACGGTGATGTACTTTGGGAGTTATTGGCCTTTAAGTCAGGCAGTGTTAACATTAGCGAGATAGGCATTTGAAAATAAAAATGGCCCCTGTACCAAAAACGCAGAAGTGTCATGAATAGTGACTACCACCATTCGATGTAGGCTGCTTTGCACTATATATCCTGTAATTTTGGTGTATATTGGTGAGTTTTTTTGATGACCTGCCACTATATGACCTTGAATGACCTTCAAAAGGAAAACAGGTATATCTCGTTAAATATTGAGTGTCATGTATTGGGATATATATTTTCAGAATCAGGGCTTTCCTGGCTACACGATGGTAGCCAAAACTTTGCATTTGGTGAGTTTTTTTGAATGTGCATTTGAAAGTGAATCTGAATATCATAGCACTTGATGCACGTCGTATTGTCCACGTTCAGGCTGGCGGCTTATTCAATCCCCGGCAAAGCGAAACACCAAGGACTGCGTCGTCTTTAATATTTTCAATTTTTTATTTAAATGAAATGCGGCTGAGCGCGTAGGAAATCAGACTGAAGCACATTATGCAATGAAACAATCTGATCGTGGCTGTGTGCCGGTTGCACAGTAGCGAAAACATCTTCAGCATAATAGCATAGCGTAATACAGGATCCGCATAGTTTAACGCCGTCATTGACCGTGGTCAGTACCTATACGTAATCTTGTTACCTAAGCTTTCCTGCGCTTTATGCATCGCTACTGCATATATAGGGACATACATGTAGACATATACCTATGTCATGGGATGCTATATGTCATGGGATGCTATATGTCACAGCCAGCATTTCATTATGACTGCCGAGATTCTCGCATTCGGTGAAGACCATGAATCGGTTTTATTGCCGGGTCGACTCGCAAAACCGTTGGCATGAGGTTCACCTTGGAGCGTGTATAGCGCTGTGCCGAGGCACTGCACTGGCAGTCCGGATGCGGGACTGCAGAATTGTGGTGACCGAGGACTGGCTAAGAACCGGTTCCAAGGTTATCTATCAACTCGTAGCTGTGTAACGGCTTGGGCCGTGGGTTCCGGGCAGTGGGATGCACGTAGTAGGTATGAGTACGGCTCTCCGTTGTTAGTGGAACACTCCAGCCTAAACTGTGCCACTTTGTGTGACATGGACATTAGGACAAGCGATAAGTCGTACCCTACACACAGCTTCGGTAACATTGAGGTGACGGATGGAAATAACGTGAATGTATCCTGCTTGGCTGCGAAACTAACGTATCGTCTCTTTTTTTTCAGGAGGCATTCAGCTGTCGTAGCTCGACTTGCCCACAGAAACTGACACAATGGGCCGCAAGAAAATTCAAATATCTCGCATCACCGACGAGCGGAACAGACAGGTCAGTCAGAACAGCCCGCATTTATTCAAGGAAATGAATGGCTTGAGGTGCTTCTATCGTCAGCCTCACATGTGGTGACGATAAATGCGAACTAACTTTATAACCGATCATTGAATTAAATGCTCTATGCAGATATTCACCGTACGAGTTATTCTGCCATTCTTTCACTTCTTCACCCTCTCCCGCACCTGCGATTCCCCATCCCAGTATTCACCGGGGGAGTTGATCTCGGCGCCGTTTCCTCATGGTGATAAGTTTTTTCAATAAAATCATCGAATGGCTTGAAAACAAAGAATCCAATGGTACCGAAATAAAAGTTTCTAGGTCAACGATAAGCTTAGGGTAAGACGTAACTAGGCTGGGGGGATCCGTGCTATCGTAAGTTATATCGGACGTGGCTGCGAAACTTCTCTCGGTACGAAACTTCTCTTGATCGGAAGAAAATCGGAGGGATGAAAAAGAAAGAGCAGCAAATCGGAGCTACGTTGTACGTAAGTTGTTTCGCAGCGTTTAAATGCCAGTTTTACTACGATTTAAATGCCAAGCAGATCAGCTGACCTCGTAGTACCATGTCGATAAGGTCGAATTCCCCATACGTCTATAGTGTAAAAGTGACCCTTATTGCAAATAGGCTATCAGGGACATCTCCTCCTCTGTAAATTTGGAGGGATCATGTGTCGGCATTCCCATGTTCGTTTCGGAGTCCATCTGTTCCATTTGGAGCCCGTCAGTTGGCGTCAAGAGTTGGCGCAGCGAGCGCCCCGAAGACTGCGTCTGCGCACGAGGCTTCGCGATGGAGGAGTATTTTGACGAAATCGCCCTCGCTGCAGAAGAAATAGAGGGACTTGTTGAGAAAGAGGAGGCCGCAGTGTGCCGACGACTTTAAACTGTACGCCAACGCCAAGACCAAGGCAATCAGGGGGCGCTCAGATGATCGGGAGGTTTCAATTGATCAGGGACCCACCAGGTGACCAGGGAACCCTCTGATAACCAGGGGTCCTTCCAGTAACCAGGGACTCCTTCAATAACCAGGGGCCCCTCAGTAAACGTGGGCCACTCAGGTTACTGCAAGAGACAGGAGTCCCTTATAACCAGGGACCGGCAAGGTCTCTCAGGTCCGTTTTTGACAAAGCTGTTATTGACGTCATATGCGAGCCCTTTGCCACCAGCAGAGGGCCCTTTCAAGCCTTTTTAGGGCCGTTTAACGTCTCTTGAGTTTCCTTTGAGGCTAAGGGCCTCTTCAGCAGCCGAGGGGTCTTTGAGGCCTTTTTGAGGGCCTCTTAACGTCAGCTGAGGACCGTTGGACGCCATCTGAGGACCGTTTGGTGCCTTCTGATGGCCAGTAGATGCCAACTGAGGGCTCTCTGACACCAGCTGAGGGCACGCTGACACCAACTGGGGGCCTCCTGACACCAGCTAAGGGCGCTTTTGTATTTGACACGAGCTCAGGGCCTTTTGACGCCCTTTGAGACCTTCTGAGGTCCGTTTGACGCCAGCAGAGGACCCTTTGGGGTCATATGAGGGCCCTTTGCTGCCTTCTAAGCGGCCTTTGAGGCTTTTTGAGGGCCGCTTGACGCCACCTGAGGACCGTTGCGGTTGGACTCCAGTTACGGACCGTTTGAGGCCTTCTGATGGCCATTTTGCGCCAACTGAGGGCCCTCTGACACTAGGTGGGGGCCCTCTGACACCAGATAAGGGCCCTTTAAGGCCTTCTGAAGTCCGGTTAACGCTAGCGGAGGGCCTTTTGAGGCCAAATGAGGGCCCTTTGAGACCTTATAAGGGCTCCTTGAGACTTTTGAGGGCCGCGTGACGGCATCTGAGGACCGTTGTACTCCAGCTGACGACCGTTTGAGGCCTTCAGATGGACTTTTGGCGCCAGCTGAGGAGGGCTCACTGACACCAGCTGGGGGCCCTCTGACACAAGCTAAGGACTCTTTAAGGCCTTCGGAGGGTCGTTTGACGCGAGCTCAGGGCCCTCTGACGCAGGTTTAGGGCCCTTTGACGCCCTTTAAGGTCTTCTGAGGTAGGTTTAACGTTGGCTGAGAGCCCTTTGAACCCATCTGAGGGCCCTTTGAGGCCATCTTGTGGCCCTTCATTTGGCCATCTGAGGGCCCTTTGACACCAGATGAGGGCCATTTGACGCTAACCGAGGGCCCTTCGAGACCATCTGAGGACCCGGTGACCCCATCTGTGGGCCCTTTGAGGTCTTTTGAGGGCCATTGAAATTTCACCACAATACCCCTGGCTGCGCTACTGGGCATTTATGGACTCGTATGGGCCTGCTGGGGAACGAGATGGGCCCTCCCGGTCTTTTCAATCATTATTTCAGTTCATTTTACATGGTTTTCGGCGGTCTAAAGATTAGGGGCCCCAACTCGAATGTGGGGAGGCCCGTGTGCCCTCTCCTGTGTGCGGCCTTGCCGACACTACACCGCTTCCCCTCCCTCCGCCATAAACGCACCGCTGCACTGTTAGGCGCCGACAAATACGGACCGGCGCCGCAACCGGCTCCCCCGCGGCCTGCCTCGCGTTGACATAGCCCTTCCCGAACACCAGTGTAACCCCCACGCGGCCTAGGTATCGCCGCGCCCACCTGTCCGCGGCGCGGCCTCTGATGGCGTATCGGATCATTGATGGTGCGATACATGTTTTGGTCAGATTTTCGCAATTAACGCGAAAAATTGCCCAAAACACTTTTTAAATTTTGAAAAAGTGATTACAAAAATGACGTGAAAGTGGCCGTTTTCAACGTGTAAATTTAAAACGCTCTAGCGCAGCCATTTTTGAAGAAATCGACTTCAAATTTTGCACACGTGTTCATCAACCATATTTGTTTAACATATATTTCGGTTTTGTGAAAATTTTGAAAATTTCTTATATTTTTCTCTTGAGAAAGAGGTAAAGCTTCACTACGATCGGCCTTCCGATCGACCGAGAAGATTCGTAAAGTTAGTTCGTATCTTCACCATTTGCGATACAACTTGCGTATCTACTTAGCCTACGATGTGATGGATCCCTCCAATATCTGTTCCGATTCAACTTACGTTTGATCGCAACTGCGAGGTGCCTTGCGATCACATGGATTAAAATTGTAGCTGTTTTAGATCACCATCACCGTGTAGGAAAATATCGAAAGTTGGCTTAAGTTGGCTGTTTGAACACCCCTGCGGTTTTTGAAGATATCTCAAAATCAGCGGCGCGGAGCCCCATTGGTTTTAGCACACCTGTTCTCGCATCTGTTCAGCACATGTTGTGAGAATTTCAGACCCATGTCGCTCAAGGTCAGGTCACCAGGTCACGTCAAGTGGCTTACCTCAGAAAAGGTTAAAATGCTCGCCATAGCTACGTCGTTAGCGATCGCTTTTAAGCTTTCAGCGCTTGATAAGAGTAACAGCATGTATAAAACGTTTATCTCGGAATTTAGATATCTATGACCTAAGGTCAGGCAAATTTTGCGAACTCTCAATTATAAGTCAATGGAAGAAAATTGAAATCATCTTTTGGATGAACGTCGTTCTAAACACTCTCAAACATTAGTTTATGGGTAAGCATGACAGACTGAATGGGAAAATTGCACCCGTGACACCTCGTTGTGCCTCTGAGATCATTTCAGGTCATGACAGGTCCCCAGCAGTTTTTACCAAACTTTTGATAGATACATGCTAGAGCGGTGAAATCACTTTAGACTTGTGTTCAGGTCGACGATACGGATCGGCTGATATACAGCATGACCTTTTCCGGTCAGGTCATGACATCAGGCCTTGACCTGATGTCAAGTTTTCAAAATGACATTTCAACGTCAAATTAAGTGCATTTTACGCGTGCGCGTCTCGACGAGAGAAACACGATGCCGGCAAAAGTAATGTCGTGACTTTCTCGAGTCAAAAGTTATTACAAGAGAAAAAACACCTTTTTTTCGTAAAAAACGGCTATTATTAGTTTTTGCCCTCTGGAGGCTAAATCGTTGACCTGAGGTCAAAACTGAGGACATGTTGGCGAAAGAGCGTTGAAGGAGCTATGAAATGCGCTTTTCCGCTGCACTGTACCGGGTGGCCCAGAAAAAACGTTCCGAACTTTGGAGGCCCATATATCAAATTCGAGTGCAAATAACGAGACAATATTTTCAGCAAGTTTGCGTCATTTCTTTGCGCATTGGTATGCTAAATTATAACACTATACCATCATTTTCAAGCTGGCAATCTTGAGTTGAACTAAGCAAGACGTTTTTGCTTTTTTTGCCGATGTCAAACGATAGTGATGATTGGGTTAGACGCCCCATGTTATAAAAAAGAATAGAAAAATAGAGCATGTGAATGAAACCAACACGTATGTTCTTATTTTAAATATTTGTGTCTCACTTTTGTGCCAAATATTCAAATACTGAGCCAAAATGGTGCTCATGGATGCCATTCGTTTTAACACCAAATCATGATTCGTGGCACGGTGCATGGATTACTGCTGATTACCCTCCTTTCAGTAGATCAAACAGTAAATCGACCGGATAAGGAAAACAAACTAAAACAGACTAGTTCCTGTGCCAGAAGACCACATAACATTTTATGAAAAACAACATTGCCAGCAGATGACAAAAAAGAAAACTGGTTGAAAAGCTACCTTTTCCCAGGAATGTCAGCCAGGAAAGCATTTGAGCCACAAGATGGTTAGAAAACTGGAAACTTCTTCCGATGCCACTGGCACAGAGCCATCGTGGTTGCCTGATGGAATGTGTCATCCTGAGACCCGAACCATCAATGAGACTAGCTGCCAGTAGCAGCCATGGCTCTAGGCCGTGGTGCCGAGGGGTGAAAGTGACCTGTTCACTCACATTTTTGAGTAAACATCGGAGCAAAAAAGTAATTTTTACATGGCATACTTGAAACACGAACCGTTTAAAAAGTAATTTACCGAACACCATGAAAATCACACCATTTACTGAAAATGTGTGCCGCATTGACTATTCAAAGTTTCAATGTTGTATCTTTATCACTTTCTGAGAAATACTGATTTAAAGTTGGGAACGTTTTTTCTGGGCCACCCGGTATATACCTAGCTCTATTGGTAACCGAATTATGCGTCTTTTTTTTCGAAAATTGATGGTATATGCTAGCTTTGACCTTTGATGACCTCTGGTGACCTGCCTTTTGACCTGACCTAAACAATGACAGAATTGTTTTCTTCATTACCTATTTTTTGACGTTCTTTGTAATGCCGCTTACCGCGTGTCGCATGGCCCAGGAGCCGATTTAAACGGGGGGGGGGGGGGGGGCGTGAAAACATGACGCGACACGGAAAACTCAGATTGTCCAGCACGGTAGGGCAAAGATGCATAAAATGTGCAATATCTTGATAATGGCCTTGACTTTGAACTTGAGCACACCATCGGACTCCTTTGAATGTCTTTTTCTATGTGTGATATTTCGTTGACAATTAATTATTTGGTCCATGCTTTCCTCTGGAGCACTGGTCACTGCGAAACGCTGGCCTTAGGTATACCTATGACCTCTTACCTTGATCTCTGACCTAACAAATTTACCAAGTCAAAATTTTACTTCCTTTAGAATTGCCTTGATAAAACCTTCCTTTTGTACCTCTTTTGCTGCCGTTTGTAACAAAGCTAGACGGGGGGAACGAAAAGCTCTCCTCACGGACACTGGCGATCTGACTTATGACCGGGTCTGGCCTTGATAACGCGGTGTGTAACCACAACCAGTATTTGTGGTCGCCGATAAATTCCTTCCCATTACAACAGGCTAATGAACACTGGAAGGACTGGGATTTGCCAACTTGGTCGACTCCAAGTACTGTGCAATGTTGTAGGTATATTTCAAACTGCCTATGTATACGTAGCCATTGAAAAGTTCCAGGGACCTGTCATAAAGTTAGGTATGTCGTAAATACCACGAGATCTCTCTCGCATAACCTTGCTTTTTATAATATACAATAAATATGGCTAAGTCATTACCGTTATGCATTCGGTGCACCAGCATGCCCCTTTCCATTATCAATATACCTATATCCGTATGTTGAACACGTTTTCCTCTATTTCAGGTAACATTTAACAAACGGAAATTCGGCGTAATGAAGAAGGCTTACGAGCTGAGTGTTCTCTGCGACTGTGAAATAGCGCTCATTATATTCAGTTCGTCCAATAAGTTGTATCAGTACGCCAGCACGGACATGGACAAGGTGTTGCTCAAGTACACCGAGTACAACGAGCCTCACGAATCGCTCACCAACCGAAATGTCATCGAGGTAAGTGATTGTGCTCACGTCTAACTGTGATGTTTCTGTCCCCAGGTCACATTCACTAAGCGAAAATTTGGTCTCATGAAAAAGGCCTACGAGTTGAGTGTTCTGTGCGACTGTGAGATTGCGCTAATCATCTTTAACTCATCCAGTAAGCTGTTCCAATATGCCAGTACAGACATGGACAAGGTGCTGCTCAAGTACACCGAGTACAACGAGCCGCACGAGTCTCGCACCAACAAGGACATTCAGGAGGTACGGTGCACTGTTCGCCAATCTCGCGGGTCTCTGCCGTCCTCAGCATGGAGCCAGCCGCGTGGGGCGCGCGCTGGCTGCGGGCGGCGGACTGCGCCCTTCTGTGCAGAGGTGCTGGACAGGCAGCTCGTACCGCATGGCGGCGGGTGCCGAGCAGGGTGCTTCGGTGGCTCTGGCTTGTATCTGCAACTGGTGGAGGATGGTGATCGCTTCCTGGGCTAATAGCTTGTCGGTGCTAGTGGCTTGCCTGGTGCTGGTGAAGGGGTGTCGGTGGATGGTTGTACTTGTTCCAGCGGTAGACGATGGTTCGTGCTGCCCTTCGGCTGGTGTTGGGAATCTGGCAGAATGAATTGGCGCTCCCGGTGATGGTATTCTCTTCCAAACCTTCCATTCTGCGCTTTGCGCTGCGGAATCCTCTATAATGTGGTCCTTTGCATGTGGAGAAGGAGGCGCCGATGTGTGCCAACCTTTAAACATCTTCAGTTGACGTCTTCCTTTTGGGTATCAACAATGACCGAATGGCTCTCAATGCACGTTTGGGGCGGAGTTGTACGTATATATTTTTTTGTTTGCTATTACGTCTGTCAGGTCAATGTGTCGCAATACCTTTCATTCGATGCGCCAGAGATGAGCAATCGATGGAGCGAGATTACAGAAAACTCATCTGTCGGCATCCCTTTATTTACGAGTATTACACAAATTCCCGATAATCGACATCCTTGGTATGCTGCGCTAGATGACCCTTTCACTACCGTGAACATGTCTCGCATCTAGAGGTCCCAGATGGGTTTTAAAACGTAAGAAGTTGGTGCTGTTAAGCTATTAGCAAATGGAATTTCAGCGAAACGTAGGTATAAGGTATATATTTATACGTGCGCCATGCAGACATTTCTGTATAAGGGACCTCCTCTCGCTGAGAAGTGAAAACTTTCTCGTACATCCATGGAAGGCCCAAAATGGTCATTCGGGTCCCAAACTAGGACGTCGAAAGCATTCAAAGTTACACCTGACCCATGACCCATGCTAGTGTGCATGGACGCGAACTCTGAGATATTTCAAGCGGTTCAATGACTGGTAACTTCAACGGACTGGTCGCACAGCTTCCTGACCCGATGCTGTCACCGGCATTATGTGCTGCAGCTGCATCGTCTCGCATTTGGCTCCTCTGATTGATCAGCTGAGTCGTATGACGTCATCGGGCCGACGGCGTCCGGTCGTCGGCGCCACATATAGACCGGCATTCACCGGAGCGTATCGACCGCCGCGGGGGGGGCGACCCCTGACGGCAGGGTGGGTGGGACGGTCCTCTGCGGAGGCAGTCCGTGACTCTCTGCTGTCCTGCCCTTAGCGCAGACTGCAGGCAGCAGCAGAGTGAGCTGTGCTTGGGCATCGGTTCCTCTCTCTTCTTGCCTCTCTCTGGACATATTTTGGCTCGCCCGTCGTCGGGGCACCTCAGCGAGACTGGTGACTGAAAAGCTGCTGCTTCCAAGAACTGTTGAATCCAGGCTATTGATGACGGCGTTCAAAGCGTTATGCAACGAATAAGTAAAAGATTGCATCGATCACTGTCGCAGGCTTGAGGTCTACTGCTTCCTCTTACTCCAGCTTTTCATAAGTAACCGTTCACCGTTTATTAGTCGTCAATCGTCATAACGTTGTTGCCGGGATCATATGCTTTTGCTTGTTATAGGTGTTGCCTCGTTTGTTTACCTGAAGTTTGTTACGAGCTTCATCGCAGACTTCTGCGTCCAATGATCACTTTTGGCCGCGTGGGACCTGGTGGGCCATTGCAGGGTCTCCTCCAAGACACCGCTGTATTTCTTCTTCACATGTCACTGGTTAGGGGAGATCCGTGTAAGACGCCCAGGGTCGGTAAGAGGCCCCATCGCTTTTTTTACCAAACCAATAATGTTATTTATTTTTTAATGTTCTTGTAAAGCAGAAGCCCTCTTGAAACAACTCACGAAACCTGAGGTATCAGGTGCGTCGCAGCGACTTTTGGTAAGCCTGTTTCTGTTTTTGCCCCTTTACTTGCTAGATATATGCATCTTTATCACCCTTATATATCTGAAAAAAAACAATGGCTATCAAATGCAATCTTTTCTCATCGAAATTGTCACATGTTAGCTTCAGAATAGACCATGTTCTGGTGCGCTGCAAATGTCTCATAAACCATAAATATTGTGGACGTTAAAACACTGTATTTTTTTAAGAGGCCCTCCCTTCGAGGATGATAAAACGCCCTCCGATAAAAAACGCCCCCGATGCTAAAACGCCTGCACCTGCGGCAGGCGTGGCATTCTTTTTTCAAGGAGTTTGTTTTTGTTTCTTTTTTTTTCTGTTTCTTTTCTTAGAGGTTATAGGTACAATTTTCGTTGGTCATCAGCGTTTGGTTGTGCTAGTTTTCGAATTGTTCGAGCGCTTTGGAAGTGTTATTGGTTTCGATAACACCGTATTTGCTTAGCTTTTCGAAATAAAAGGCCTTGCAGCTGTGTTCGCAAAGCGTCTTTTACAAGTCGACTTGACTTTTAAAACGCCCGAGGGGGGGGGGCGTCTTACCATACCCATAGTGTAAGAGGCCCTTTTGCAACTTTTTCCAAAATGTTAAAGTTTACGGTTTGTGTACCCCCTAGACTCATTTTGAATGCAAATATGTATGGGAAAATGATGCATGCTGACAGCGCATGCACACGTTAGCGCTTAAATATTATCAGTTGTCTAAAAATAGTAACTGAGCTTAAGGGGGGGCCTCCTGCACCACTCTCCCCTACGGTCCGTCTCCGCTGGCCTCTGCTTCATCAAAGTGGACGTCGTCATCACTTGCTCGGGCCAATGTGCTACGTGTCCTGTCAGTTAGGATCACGAGAACTGCTAATATCGACCTACCGGCGAACCGGTCCTAGCCGGCTACTGAGGCGTTCCAGTGGACGCAGTGGTCTCCCAGCCCCAGTGGACACAGTGGTCTGTCGTTCATATTGGAAACAGTGGTCTGCCCAGTAGGTATGTCTCAATGTCTGTCACAGTGGAGCCATCAGTAGTCTGAACTGTCCTAGTTGACAGTAATCCAAAATATCCCAGTTGAGGTGGGACAGCAGGACGGCATCGGCAGGATGGCATTCCGGAGGTCCAATAGGGACAAGCGTAACTACTGATCCCTTTGCTGGGCAGCTCAATATCTCAATGCGTGCCAGTCGCATGTGCAAGCGCCTACCAAAAACGACCGATGGTTTTTAACTGATTCTGTGAATAACTAGAGAACATAGCTAGCTTCGGGTCGCATTGTGCATTCGAATCGTCTTAGATTGTTCCCATATAACTCCGTCGACGGATAGCAATACCTTCATAGATGCACCTTACCCGGTCGTTATATGTGTACCTACCTTACATATAGGTGATTTCGGAATAGCACAGGCTTATTCCCAGTTTTTTTTTTGCGAGATCTCATCATTTATTGTGTCGATTCGAATGAACCGTCATCATGAGCCCGGAAAGGGGCACGTCGATTATCGCCCGATCGCCGTTTTGGCCGTATCTCATGTCAACTCTATGATGCACGCGAGCGCGCGCTGACGTCGCACCCCTCGTCCGATCACCCCCCATCTTGTAATACGATGGTCCGCCCCACCCACAGATTGTGCAGTCGAAATTTCGTGACCTTATAGCCTGGAGACCTTGGCCTCCATGGCGAAAACAAGTCCCGACGTAGGTACTCGACTCAATTCATGAAATCCTGCCAGCCACGGTAAACGGGTTATATCTGCTCGCGCCACTGCCTAAAACCTTGATTATGTCCGTTTCTGGTGGCCCACTGACCACCCCATTCACCACAGGCGCTAAACAAGAAGGAGCACAAGAATGGCGGCCTCAGTCCTGAGAGTCCGGAGCCGGAGGACTTTCTCACTCCACGCTCCGCCGAGCCCAAGTACAGCAAGATCGAGGAGGAATACCAGGTTCTGATGCAGCGCAGCAGCCAGCTCAACGGCAACAGGGTGAGTCTGCGGGCGAGACGGCGGTACAGGTTACCAATTCTTGGGTGGCGACGAGAGATTGACGTTAATTAAGCCTTTATATTTTATTGAGTAACTTATTTGAAAATTTGTCCATATTTTACAATGCATTTTTTATTTTACTTCGTAAGCCTATGCCTGCCACTTTTGGCTGGACAATAACTGATATTTGCTCGAGAGTTTTCCTACCGTTTACCTACCGAACCACCGAACCAAAACAAGGTTAACATTGACAGATTTTACTATAGAACTTCACTTCATTCACTGCAAATAGCCTATCTAAATGCACAAAACTGATTTTGCCGTTCCATCCACAGGTCGGTATTCCGTTGGGCGCCTACCAGCTGGGCGGAGGCAGCGGCGGCAGCGGTGGCGGCGGTGGAGGAGGTGGCGGTGGCGGCGGCGGTGGAGGCTCCAATAGCGTGGGAGTCAGCAGTCCTTACGGGTCCGGCGATGGTGGTGGCGGCCCTGCGCTAATGCAGGCGTCGCCTCAGATGCAGCACTCGCTCAGTCCTCGGCCCGGCTCGTCACAAGGTGTGTGTGCTGCTGGAAGCCAGTACGTCCTGTCTATGCGTCCGCTCTCATCTGGCCCACAATGACTGTTTGGTCAAATTCGATCTCATTGCTTAAAATGTTCAAGATATATGGAATTAATCTGCTGCCTTTATGAATTATTTATCATATTTTTTTCCTTTTTATATTTGAGTCTTATAAATTATAAATGCGTCGTCTCATAAACGTACGGGTCTAGAATTCATCTCTCATCCTTTCCCGCACTCGGTCCTATTGCTGTCTGCCGGAAAACCACCTCTCCGCCGTATTAGATGGGTCGCACTTTTCCGACATGTCTGACTTTTCCGACATGCCTGCTCGATATGTCGAACGGATGCTGACTTTTTCTGATTTTCCGACAGGTCTGCTCGACTTGTCGAACGGATGCTGACTTTTTCTGATTTTCCGACAGGTCTGCTCGACATGTCGAACGGCTACCCGAACTCGACCTCGCCGCTGCCTGGCTCCACGTCCCCGAGCATGTTCCACAAGGTGTCCCACAACATGAAGCCGCAGCACTCTCCGAACAGTGTCGGCCAGAGCCCGGTGAGAAACTGACGTCAGCCGGACTTTAACTATAGCTGTGTAGTGTATGATGTGAGTTAGGCCTTGATAGATATAGTACACACAGACCTTCCGAAGTACATAGATAATTCCATTATTAGTTTCAGTTCCAATTGCCGTCATCTCGCAATGTACGAGCGGATATTGTCTTAAGTGTTCGGTTTATATGCGGTAGTCCTTTTATTTTAGCGTCGTAGAATAAGCATGTTCCGTTATTTCTGGATCATTGTCCCGTTTCCCCATGCCACCGGCGGTTCATTGCCCCGAGTGTGACCGTCTCCCGCCGTGCAGCAGATGCCTCCGCGCGCCGGCGCCGCCGCTACCATGCCGTCGGCTCCGTCCGGCCTGGCGCCCGGTCTGGGCTACCCGGGCGCGTTCGGCGGTCAAGAGTTCGTCAGTCCCGACGGCCAGCTGGCCGGCCTGAACTCGCTGCACCCCTGGAGTACCTCGGTCAACATCAGCGTCGGCGGCGGGCCGCACTCCAACATGCCGCATCACAAGTGAGTCTGATACACCCGACTGTCAGATACACCCGACTGTCAGATACACCCGACTGTCAGATACACCCTACCGTCAGATACACCCGGCCGTAAGGTACACCCTACCGTCAGATACACCCGACTGTCACATACACCCGACTGTTAGACGGATGCCGGCGCGCTCCCCCGACACTATGAACCAAGGATAGCCTGGGCCCGTGCTCAGCCGGAGAGCCCCGGCGAGTACCCGATAGGTACATCTAGCCAGATTGGCGACGAGTTTCGCAACGTTTACTTGTCGAAGATTGCACAGATAGCCGGCTGAATATGGGACGGGGTTGCGTACGCTGCTTGCTGATCGGGGCCTGATTGCACTTCCTCGGAAAAATGTGATCTATTTCAGCGTTGCGCTGCGCTAAAATAGCGTCCTGCTTTTGTTTGTGTTCAGGCTGACCTTTGCATCGCTTCATCATGTCATTTATCTACGATGCAAAGTCCGGCTGGGCCATGCGCGGCCAGGGCCGCATGGTGTGTTAGATGTGTATCGGTGGCCACCATTCATAGGTGCGTTAGCTGTGTATTGGTGCCTGGTGGCCCCCCATTCATAGATGTGTTAGCTGTATATTGGTGCATTATGTCGGGGTGTCAGCTGTGTATATCAATGTATATCAATGTATAGTCTCGGTGTGTCAGTTGTGTATCGGTGCATTATGTCGGGGTGTCTGCTGTGTATTGGTGTATTATGTCGTTGCGTCGGCCGTGTAGCAGTGTATCGCTATATGTATTGTACCAATATGTCAGCTGTATATCGGTATACTATTTATGTCTGTGTGTCTGTTGCACATATACTCGTATCGATGTATGTCGGTATACGTTTGCTGTATATCGGTGTATATTGTTTATCGGTGCATTCTGTCGATATGTCGGCTAGTTATTTATCGGTGGTATGTCGGAGTCGGCTGTATATCGGTGCATGCTGACGACGTGTCACCTGTGTATCGGTGTGTTATGTCGGCGTGTCAGCTGTGTATTGGTGTATTGTGTCGGTATATCAGCTGTGTATCGGCGTATTACGTCGGTGTATCAGCTCTGTATTGGTGTATTATGTCGGTGCGTCGGCTGTGATCGGTGTATTATGTCGGTGCGTCAACCGTGTATTGGTGTATTATGTCGATATGTTAGTTGTATGTCTGTGTATTTTTGTTGACACCGTTGTATTGTTATATTCTATCGGTGTGCGAGCTGTGAAATGTGAATTGGTGACGAATTTTGCTATATTTTCTATTATTAGTAAATTACATTCATCTTTTACCACAGCAATTGATTTAATAATGCCGTGCTTTTGCCCCTGACGATAGGGTGGTCGGTGCCGGGAGAGTGGGCTGACCGCTGTTACGTCTCCGTTTCAGCGTGCCCCACGTGTCCGTATCGAGCAGTTCTCCGCCGCCCGTCGGCTCCGACCTGTCCCCAGCGCGCATCATCAAATCTGAGCCGGTGTCACCTCCGCGGGACGGGCACACGCCGAACGGGCTGCACCACCTGCGGCCGGGCGGCAGTGGCCACCTCTCGCCGTCCCACCTGCCGCCGTCAGCGCCAGGTAGGTCGGACTCTATCGGCTTCTCTCGACCTCTACCGGCAGCGGCAGGGCCCCGCTGGGAGGGAGGATCCCTTGGGAGGAGAGCGTTGGGGGACTGTGATACCAAGACCTGTGACTGAACCTGACCGTCCTTCGATGCTTCACGTTGACTCCAGCCGTCTGTGTTTAAATCTGACCGCTGTTCTCCACTGTCGCGAACTGAGGTGTGACCAAGCGTGTCTGCCGTTTCAGGCATGGTTCACCCTGTGCATTTAGCACCAGGGAACCCCGGTCATGGCCACAGCTCACCGGAACCAAGCTTAAGTGACTACGAGCCCGGGCCAATGCATAAACGCCCTCGCATGGCCGACCCGTGGGCCACCTAGCGCCAGAATGGTGAAGCAGCGTTTGCAGCGACCTCCGCCAGAGGCGCGTGTGTCGACTGGCGATACGGGTTTGCTTGCCGTGGCCTCACGGCCTCGGTTTGAGCGCAGCTATGCGAGACACGGAAGTGACGAGACACAGAAGAGTATCTATTTTCTCAGGTGTGCGCCGGTCGGGGGCGAGTGAGAAGGGGGCTTTCGAGAGTTTGCTAGACGGAAGACCCCTGTACATAGCGGGGAGCCGGTCGGCGCCGGGTGGCGCCCAGCCGAGCAGATCTCAGCGGCGCCGGCGGCCGGCCCCCAGCGCGCTCCATAACGGGGCCTGCGGCGCTGCCCAGCCGGCCCAGCAGATGTTGTATCCATGTGCTCAATCTCCCGACTGCTAGTTCTCTGCGCTCCGCACTGTACAAATTGTGTTGTTGTTAGACATGCACTCAAGGACGGAAGCTATTTGTTGCTGTGGTTGTAAGCTATGGCGCTGTCTGTTCACCCAGTATAGTTATGCACATGTACATGTTTCCAGGCCGACGTAGCGTCGGCCAACAGACGTGCCCCTCCCCTGGACGGCCGGCGCGCGCGCTGACAATCAGTGCTGGCCGCTGGCCGCCGGCCGGCCGGCCGGGCTGCAGCTGCCGTTTTGTGCTCTCCCACTATCCTGTTGGACCGGGACGCTGTCCGCCGTCCCCTGTCCCCTCACGGCCATAGAAGAGGAATCAAAACCGCCGGCTGGTGGCGTCTGCTCGGCCGGCCCCTGGTCGCTCGCTGGCGTCGGTCTTCAGTACAAACGGGCAGGCTGGGTGCGGTCAGCCCGGCCGAGCCGGCGCCGGACGGCGGCGCCCACCGCGCGTCCACTCCCCGTGCCGAGGCCGACAGAATGTCCCTCTTGCCTCCGGTTGAAGCGTTGCACTCTCCCGTGTGGCGCTATGAGCCTAAAATTGTTACTATTTTTACTATAGGGTATGTATAAAGTTAGTTGTTTATACAAGTCGTTGGCCTTACCCAGTGGTCGGAAGCTTTAACGCTACTTGATAAAATTTCAGCTTGTGACGAAGTTGTTACCACTGTTGTCGGAGAGCTTTGTTTCGTGCGCTTGCGTTGTGTTTAGTTGACCTGGCCGCCTCGTGGGCTGGCCATTAGCAGGTGTGTGCGGCAGAGCAGGCGGTCGGCGGCGGCCCGTGCCGCCCCGCCAGCCGGCAGCCTTGTAATGTAGTCGTGCTTGGTTTGTCCCGCCGGCGTAGAGCTGGTGTTTGTGCGGCCTGCATGGCCCGCCAAACCCCTGTCGTACACTAGGGCACACAGAGGCGGCAGTGGCCTTCACTGCTGTTCGACACAGAAACACAGACACTGACAGACGCGGCAGCAATTTGTCCCACACTGCTGCCCGACATATACCATAGACAGACGCAGCACTGCTGCCCGACATACAACCAGACAGAAAGGGCAGCAGCCTTCACTGCTGCCCGACATAAACCACAGATATGGCGATGACCTATTCGCCTGCCGTCACGGAACACACTCACTCTGTCTCTGCCATCAATCACGGACATTTTTGACTGTGTCGGCCGACCGCCGTCCGGGGGGCGCGTTGTGCTATGTTCGAAAGTTTTCTAAAATAAAACAAACACCAATGATGCCGTTTTTATTAAGACAATGGAAACGTTCCGGTATTGTCGGATGACTGTTAGAACCAGGGTATATAGAACAACGTTAGGACGGCTAGTGGCTCACGAGTAAAGCGTCTGGGCGACCAACATGCTGCGCTGCTCCGACTGAGCCCGTCATGGTGGGCACTCAGGCCACTCAGACACGCTAAACGTCACCCCACCCCCACGTGAGCCTCCGAGGAACATTCAAAATACGTCGGGTGGTGGTGACTAGCAGGGGTTTTGGCTTGTCGATAAAAAGGGTATGAGCGTACTAACGAGCCTACCGGGTTGCAACCGGCGACCGGTCATGAATGAGGTGGCCCAGTGCCAGCATTCTTTATTAGTGAAGCAGTCTCGTACTGAAAATGAGCATGTACTTACGCCCAGAAACTTGCAAGATCTATGCGACTGCACGGTGCACCGCACATGCACAGGAAAGCCCGCGTATACAGGCTCTGCGTTCGAGTGCGAGGCCGTTGCAGTGATTTATAGACGGAGCAGTCGTTGGCAGTTGTTTAAAGCATTGCTGAGCATTTTCCTTTTACGACGCGCGCGCGACAAACATGATTTTTGGCTTGCTAGCTGCTGCCAGTTTTGAATTGTTTTATTTGGATTCAAGCTGAAGCCTGCTGAAGCCGCTATTGCTATAGGCAGGTAGGCCTCTGCTATTTTTTTTTTCGCGCGTTTACGTTGGGATTGTGCACACTTTGGAATTAACAAAAAGTTGCAGATCCGGAAAAATTATCCTTGGGACTGAAACGGCCCTCCAGCAAAACGGTCAGGGTGTGGTTAGTCACTTAGGTATAAAGCCTTAGCCTATAACTTACCTATATGGCCTTGGTTGGTCAGCGGATGTGTATTTGGGATTGTAATTTTAGATGACAGACACTCAGGATAAATGGTTGATAGAAATGAGAAGATTGCTGATCAGTCATGCACAGTGTGGACAGACACATTGATAAGTTTATTACTGCACATTGATATATCAATATCCTTATTTATCTGTAAAGATTAATTACTGTGCTGTTGGCAACCAGCCACTTGATACCTAACTAGTAAAGGGCCATACACATTGTGGCAGCCCTGCGCCAAAAATTGAGCCGCCGCCATGCACAGAATTCATCACATGTGGAGTTGCCGGATGTGTGCTGAAAGTTTCCGCACAGTCCCACCATTGAGCAGGACATACCTATTTGGCATCACATGTATTTTTCCAGCCTGACCATACATCATCAACACGCTGATGCTGCTCTGCTGAATGCTGCCCACTGCTGCCATTTCAAGATAGGTAAGGAGTTACCTAAGCTTTGGAATAGCTACCAGGGGAACTGGGCCTGGGAAGAGTGACTGTTGACAATGTGACACATCATGGATCATTTTCACATTCTTTATCAAACTGCTCATACAGTGGCTGTTAATGGACAATTTGAGTTGCCACTGGCTGATCCATGGTGGGCATCAAGAGCATTTATTTGCTTTCCCAGAGAAAGTAAAATTGGCAACATTTTGTCATTTCCATGCACATTGCATTGAATGATTAAAAGGGAGCATAAGGGGTATTTATTTACTTCTCCCACAGAAACTAAAATTCATGAAATTTTGTCATTTCCAAGGGAACATTAGATCTGGCTCACTCGTCCAAGGGTGATAATGATAAATGCACTGGCCGCTCCAACTCCAAGGGGGCATTAGAGGCATTTATTTGCTTCTCCCATGGAAACTAAAACTGACAGACTTTTGCCGTTTCCAATTCCATGTATGCATACAAGAATACTGAACAGTTTCTTTTAAACTGCAGAGTTGCATAACTTTTGAAGTGAAATTTTTAAAGTATTTCGAAACAGGAAATCGCTTCTTCTTCTTCTTGGGTTTTACTGTACTCCCTGCCCCCATTACCATATTTCTGGACCCGCCAGTATCCATGTTACGATGAATGGCATTAGTCTGAGATGCTTTTGGTTTCTCTCATTGATCACTTCATTCAGATTTTAGTCATTATCAGTTTTATTGTTGAATCCAGGCTTACATGCCTGATAAATAGATAGATTGATGGATATTGTAACTTTAGATCCCCGTGACAGGCATTTATAAGGCATCTATGTCGATTCAAAAATGTCAAACAAAACACATAAATGCGTACACGTGAAGTGATGAGACCCACGAGGCGATGGATGACTGTTGAAATGTGCCGTCCTGACTTTACTCGTTTGTATTGGTTGTGACAGGTAGCAACAATGCCAGAGCGGGAGTGTTTCGGCGGCCTGTTGACCGGCTACCCGGAGGTGGCAGTGGACAGGTTCGACGGCCGCTGCCTGAATGCCAGCTACTTCCTGCTGAGTCATCTGCACAGCGACCACATGCGCGGTCTGGACTCGGCCGAACTGCGGTCGGTGCTGCAGAGCCAGCCTCAGCCGCGGCTGCTGCTGTCGCGCCAGTCGGCCGCGCTGCTGGCCAGCTGGCCGCGCTACGCCGCCCTGGCGCCGCACCTCTGTCCGCTAGAGGTGGGCGTGCCGCGCCAGCTGACCGACCGGCTGGTGGTGACCGCCCTGCCGGCCGCCCACTGTCCCGGCTCGGTCATGTTCCTGCTGGAGGGCGGCGCCGGCGGCACTGTCCTCTACACGGGCGACTTCCGGTTGGACAGCCACCAGCTGGCAGACATGAAGGCGCTGCACGACGCCGACGGCCACCCTAAGCCCATCCAGGCGCTGTACGTGGACACGACGTTCTGCGTGCCGCAGCGCCGCGAGCTGCCGACCCGCAGTCGCAGCGCTGAGTCGGTGCTGCGCCTGGTCACCGAATGGCTAGACCGCGCACCGGACAACCGCGTCAACCTCGACTGTAAGGCGCGCTATGGGTACGAACACATCTTCCGTCGACTGCATGAGGCCACTGGCATGCGTGTGCACGTGGATGCAGAGAAAATTCAACTATATGAGCGGCTGCCAGACATCGCGCGGTGCGTCACGTCATGTGCCTCAGAGACGCGACTACACTCCTGCCGGCCGGGCTCGACCTGTCTGCGCGACGGTAGCGGGGGACCTCTCCGCTCCATCACCCTCTCCACCATGTTCTTCTTCATGAACCAAGCTGTGGACTGCCTGGAGTACCATCTGGGCGGCGAGCGGTACCGTGTGCTCTACTCGTTTCACGCGTCACTCGGCCAGGTACGAGAGATGGTGTCATACTTGCGACCAGCCCGCGTGGTGCCGTGTGTGGTGCCGCCGAACAGCTCTTTAGAGAGCGTGGTGACACTGCTGGGTGGCGCCAGCGAGCCGCGGCTCGAGCTGCAGAGTAGCCGACTGCTGACTGCGCAGACTACCCACTGGGAGCGGAGACCGAGCGAAGTCCTGCAGCCGCACCGCCAGCACACCGGCCGGAGACAACCGCCCAAGGAGATCAAACGCATCCGCCCAAAGGTAGAGTCCCCCGGACGGCGTCAGGGTCACCAGAGGTCGCCCCAGCCCGCGGTAGGGGCTCTGGAGGAGCGGGCCGGCGCCGCAGACACCCGCCCTGCCTGGAAGTCCCCGTTCGATAGCGACTGACGACGGCTGTTGAACGGACGGCAATGTGATATGGGCGACGGCCGGTGGAATGGAGCCTGGTCCCAGTTTAACAATGGGCAGAGTTTGTGATTCTCCGGGCGCCCGTAAATTCAAATTCATCATTCTCATCATTTAAGTTTGTGATCATTTATTATTGAACATTGGCTGTGATGTTCTTGTGAAATGCAGTTATTGTGCCGTCCTGGGGCGGGCAATCATCAAATACTCGTGCCTTATATTAGAGACGCCGAATGGAATGAAATATCGGCATCCTGTTTAGCATCGCCTTTGAATAATCTCACTTTGAAAGGCTTCCATAACATGTGTATGTGCCAAGGTATTGTGCAAAATAAAGTTTCCAACGGATATTTTGAGTGTTACTATGTGACCATTCGCCCACGGATACGCGATCGTGTCACGCTCTGTATCGCAGTGCACGACTATAGCGTCGACGTGCCACTGTTCGATACCTATGTGGCTCTACGGGTGTACCATTCCTCACTACGCCGAATTTGTGTCCCATCCTCCAGTTAGATACGCCATTGGTGTAGCATAGCGTGGTACTTTCCTTGATCATTGACAAAACACAATGATGGGTGTGAGATAACACATAAGGTGCATGCTCTTGCTCTTATTTTTTGCCCCTTATTTAGAGCGAGATGCGGTAAATTAGTCGCATCAATGGAAACGACGGCATCTGCTCAGAAGCGCACGCGTCCAGAATGCATTGCACTTTACTCTGCCATTGGATAGCCGTTACCAAGAAAATGTCCAATCGATTTCAATTCAACATGGACTGTAGAGTGGTTAGACTGTCTTGGAAGACACGACACAATGCGTTTTTCGAATTTCAATCAGGAAAGCACCCTGCCGATTATTGAAAGCAATTCTTTTCGTCAAACATCAGCGTATGTCATGTTAGATATAGGTTCAATATTAACAAATAAGCAGCGCATTTCAGTATCCAAGGCCATTTAGCGAGCACAAATAACCACTAAGGAAAAACTTTCCAGCAAGAACTAAGACCTAGTCAATTGCCGTCCTGGCTCGGACTTGTTTTAATTTTCCTTCCCGACTGTGTCCTATCCTACCAACCATCTTGGGCACCGAGTTCCACTTCCCCTCCGTACCCAGCCCCGTTCGGCCTCTCGTCCTCTAGCGTATTCCATCTCCCCACTCGACCTACCCCGCCCTTTCCATCCATTGTCCTTTACCGTATCCCATCTTCCCTCCCGACCTGATCCCTTACACTCCGTCTCCCGTTCCTAACTGATCGCGCCCCATCCTCGTCCCGCTTCTGCCGTCCCTTCTTGAGTCTAACCACAATAGCTATATTCGGTGCTCATTCTCTCGTAAATCTGTATTAAAAAACAATGCACAATGTTGTCGTTTGGTACGCCAGCAGTGTGGTACACTGCCACGAATACACTGATGATCAGTGTCACAACAGCACAGGAAAAACAGCTCAAAATACGCCGCTCTCGGCGTTCCCGTCAGGCCTGTTCACCAACAGCCGGCGCCTGATTCAAACTTCCTCCGCCGCTACCAACTCTGCCGTCGGCTGCCAACAACTCGCCGACCTTTACCGCGTGACACAGCCGTTGACAGCATGTGTCGTCCGCTGCTGTTCACATCGGCTGCCGCGATCGCATCATGCCACCATCGCCAACTCTAACTGCCACCTTGAGCCGCTCTCGCAAATCTCACGGTCACCGAATGCCACTCTCACCGTCACTGTCGCCTGCCACCGCTCACCGATTGAGGCGATCGCCGAGTGCCACTCTCGCCACTGTGGCCGAATGCCACTCTCACCGAATATGGTCACTTTCGCCAAATACCGCTTTTAGCGATTGTCACTGTCGCCTTAGTCCACTCGACACTTTCAGCCACTCTCGGCGATTGTCACGGTCACGAATGTCACTTTCACCGATTGTCACTGTTGCCGGCAATAACTGCGACCCTCACCGTTTGTGATTCTAGCCGTCTCGACGCTGCGAGTCTCATGGCTTAAACTTTATGAGCGGGATGTTTTTGCTGCTCAGGCAGCGATCGCATACCCATTCAGCATAAACTTCCGCGATCAAAAGGTGATACGCCTGCTCGATCAAACCCGTGCACATCCTGGAAAATCACAAGAGTAACGTTACATTGTCTGTTGCTGAAAATGCGAACAAAAGACAAACCTAAGCACGGAAATCGGAATACTGTAGCAAATGGACGCACATCGCGCTTGTGCGAACGAATGTGATTAGCCCCCACCCCCATCGAAAATTTTCCGCCGATTAGACTAAAAACGAAGCAAGCAGCGTTTCCGGTTCAGTCACACAACTTCTTATGTTTCGCACATAAGGATAGTCAGCCCAGATCGTTTAGGGTAACTTGGCCACCACCACGTCAGTACAACGGACGGCGAGTAAAAAAAGCAACTTTATGTCACAGCTTCACATCTGCGATTGAATTCAGTATTCTTTTACGATTTTTTTTTTGTGACGCTTCCTTAGTAAGGAATCCTTCCGTCATTTTAAGTTGTTAACTACTAAGGTCAGACGTCAAGTCTTTCTATGCCTCCCAAATAATCAGTCAATGGAAGCAAATGAAACGTACGGAAGTCGCTCAAACTACTCGCAAATATGATGCTGTAGGCGGTCACTAAATAATTATTAGGACATCAAAATATTGATATTTGAAATGCCCAACCGTTGATTCGCTGGTTTCGCAGGATTAAGGTAAAAGAAGGGACCTACGCCCCTAAATTGTACAAAGGTGTCATTTGCACTGGGTGAAAGAACATGGACCTCCTTTTATCTTAGTACACGAAAAGAAAAAAACGATAAAAATAATTCGCACAAGAGAAGGTAAGGTGTGACAACAGCTGTAGACAATCGGTCAAGCCCGCATATTGTCTCTTTGAGCATCCCTTCATGACCCTCCAGTTCGGACTTGAGCTGGTGTCATCCCAGAGTCTTACCTGTGAAACCAGAAGTTGCAGCCGGATTCACAGAGGATCGCTTGGTCGTTTTCGTGTACCTCTTTGTGACACATGCCACAGGGGTAGATGGGTGGCGCGTTGGGGTTTTGTGGGTTGAACACCATCGGCTGGTCGGCCGGGTACACCTGGAGTCGGAACAGCGAGCGGTCAGCTCGACAGTCAGCGGCCGCGTCCGATACGTTTCTGTCCAGACCCACTGTACCTAACTATTATTGATATCAATTTCAATTCGCAGAGTTGCTACCCAGCCATCAACAATCAAACGTCAGCCATCAACAATCAAACTTCAGCCATCAACAATCAAACGTCATAAAAGCTAACCATGAATATCCATTTCTGATCGACATAAGGACCAATTATCGAAATAAGTTTCGTGATATAGTTACTACACAGTAAACGAACTTCAAAGTCTGAACATAAGTGATGTAGAGACTGATATGCAATGAGGCATCAAACATAGGAAAACAAACAACAGAGGATAAGCATTGGTCATCCAGAAACGAGCCAGTCATGCTGGCAAAGTGCAGCTCTGCATAATATTGCAGACAGAACGGCTTAGTGTGAGCTGACTCACCTTTCTGGACGAGTTCGGAGGCATGCCGCCGGGGCCGGGGCCGGAACCAGGCGGCATCCCCGGCCCCATGCCGCCCATGTTCATGTCGTGCATGCCGCCGCCCATCGAAGTCATCGGGTTCATGTTGTTCGGCATTGAGTTCATCATGTTCTGATTGCCCGGCATGCTGTTGGGCGCCGACATCCGCGGCACCATTGGCGGCATGCCGTTTCCGACGGGCCCCATGCCGGGCCCCATGCCGTTCCCGCCAGGCATACCCGGGACCATGTTGGGTCCCGGTCCCATGCCATGGCCCATCGGCCCGTTCATCGAGTTCGGTCCCATCGGTCCCATCGGACCGCCCGGCCCCATCGGGCCACCGTGCCCCACCGGGCCGCCGGGACCCATGGGGCCGCCAGGACCGGGGCCCATGGTGCCCTGCATTCCTGACGGCATACCGCGAGGCATCATGCCCATGTGGCCCATGTGACCCATGTTGGGCATCTGCATAGGCGCAGAGTTGGACGTAGCATCGTCGAACGGATTGCTCGCGAACACGGTGTCGCCATAGCCTGAAACACAAACAAAGTAGTTCAGTTTAGATTTCACAACTTAAAACACCCTTTGTCTGAGCAATGATCAGCAAAAGCATCAATAAACACTTTTGTGGGTGTCATTGACAGACAACACATTGCCACCTAGCTAGGTAGGTACGTTATTTATATGAATTGAATCATTTTAAATTATCTAAGTAAGAGCGGGGATGACAACGTTATCCGCCCGAAAAAATATACAGCTGGAAAAAATTTTGATTGTAATCAATGAACATGATTTGGATACTTTTGTATTCTGAAATACTCATTGCAATTCCTGCTTTCCTGGTGTCAGCACATTTCATGTTTACTTTTGCATTTGATTTTAAACATAAAAAGTCGAATTTCTAAACAATGATTGCCATTCATACAAACAAAACTAGGTACCACTCAAATTTCATGCAGCAAAAATGTTCCCAGATATCCCAAGCGGAAAGCAACTCATCAGCACCAAAAGCTTTAAATGGAAACATTTTCATGGGCAATATGCATTCGTGTTCACATTACCTATCACACTTTGGCTGGCACACCTGTCAACTCAAATTAATAGGTCTCATCCTGGTCCTGGATACTCACATGAAAGCGGCGGTGGTACCAGATCTGGCACTGGAGAAGACTGGGGCATCGATGTGGCTGCTGCAGTGGTAGAGGTGCGACGCCGCTTTTTGGCATTGCCCGGGGACTCGGGAGTATTGCGACCCATTTTCGGCTAGTGAGTCACAACAATAAGCAAGTAGTTAAAGGCTTCGCAGCACAGTGTTTGAGTTAAGCCCTGAGGTCCTGTGAAACAGACATGCCAGAATGTCAGATACAAAGAACAGCCTGCCAGGTAGAACCCAACTCTTACCAGTCAAATGTGAGATGTATCATTTCAAGTCTCATGCTTTGCATAATCAGCGTATGATGTCACACTTAATTGCTTTGTTGGTAATTGGCATTATGGAATCGAAGAGAATGCAGCTGCTTTTAGACTTACACATTATACATTTGGTAATCTGTGACCAAGGCCACACAGCAAAGTGTGAACAGAGTTAACAAGTTGCACTAGCTAGGGTGAAAAATGTGCACCAGCCCACACTAACTGGAACTGGATATCTGCAGGAGTCTGAACCAAACAAGACCTATTTTTTTTTTTTTTTTTTTACCACAAAATGTGCATATGAACACTTGATGTGAAAACCACAATATAAGGTCCATCTCCATTACTCATTAGTCATTGGACAAACTCATTCTGTCTCCCACACATCATTTACTTGGACAATAAGGCAACTACACAGCAGTTCTCTACAGTACCATGCTAGTGACCACACCGTTGCTTGCAAAATCTGCATGAAACCACTGTAATACTGGACCACACTGAAAGTTGGCTGAGTGCCTCCGCACCCACAAGCTCTTGGCCGGTTTGCCATGCCTTACAAGCTAGGACAGAGGCACCTGGAGTGGACTGTGTGGCACCTCAACCTTGACACTGTTTAATTGCAGTTAACAGCATGTTGAGGATTTTTATGATGAGGATTCTGGCAGTTTAGTTTAGGCGCACATTAAATTCACATAGCAAGATAAAAATGGAAAATGAATGGAACAGAATGACTTGGAAATCGGAACCAATTAGAACTGAAGCAAGAGTAAATAATTAGCAAAGGAGATGACTTTATCTACAATGATGTGCACATATTGTGCAGTGAATGAACCCAATCGCTTGCACATTAGTGACCTTGGATGACTGCCTAAGCTGCTTTGATTGTCACTCTGGAGAACAACTAGGAGAATATACCTCTTGTTTCCCAAGTACTCTTTTTATCATCATTTCAATATCGCACAGCATACTACCAGCTTTCATGTATAGGGAAGATCATTTCTGGAATATCTTGGCATTTCATTAAACAACCACACAAAACACATGACTTTGACTACATAGATGCCAAAAAATACCAAAATAGTGCCTGGACTGTGGAAATCACTGTCACTAAAGCTGTGTCACTAAATTGCCATCAACCAACAGCTACAAAAACTGGCCCAACAAGCACTGGAGAGAACTCCAGTACCAAACAAATCAATAAAACATGTTTGTGGACATGTCCCGTGCTTGGTCAGACAGATGAACTGGAGGGCTGCTCATGGGCACCATAAAAGGCAAGGGGGTAGAGAATGGGTAGTCAGTATGACATAACACAGCGGCATGTGGTGGACCACACACAGCCATCACTGTGGCTAGTCCCGACCGGCCACAGCTGTTGCTGTGTGCAGTGATGGAAGGATGACGTAGGGACGCAGTGGGCAGAACTTGGAGCCTGTATACAGTCCTACCGTACACAGGGTCCGTGATCAGCCCTCAGGCAATCCTAGTGCCTCATCCAACTAAAGTTGTACACTCCGGGGCAGATTGAAATTCCACCACTCCCTACCCATCAGGCTCCCATGGCTCAGCACTGGCTGCTGCCAGTGGCAGCAGGTGAGCAGTGCTGATGGCAGGCAACACTGGCAGCAGCCAGTGCTGAGTCATGGGACCAGGGAGCCCGCTGGGTAGGGAGTGGCGGAACATCAATCTGCCCCCGAGTGTACCTGTGCAGTGTGCACTACAAATTGAAATGCCAGAGGTAGGTCAAGGTGTTACTTAGAACAAGTAGGTAATAAGTATGAAGTAACAGTTAACCTCAAGGTACAGTGTCCCAAAAATATATTTTGGATTGGGTGTCGGAGGGGAATATTCGTCACTACAAAGAGGGCTGAGACTTGGAAAATTGCCAGTCAGGAAGGCACAAAAAGAGAGGAAAACAGAGATCAACAATTTATTTGTGAATGTTGGGGAGGGTGCGGGAGCTGCGTTATAGGATGATCAAATAAAATATAGAGGGAGGTAAAAGGTACAATCAGATGCTCCTGATTGGTAAAACAAGGAGTGAAAAATCGCTCTGGAAAATTGGAGGTGAGAGTGAAAAATTATTTTGATTTGGGTGTTGCTTCCCATGCCCAAACTGGCAAATTTTGGGACACTGTCAAGGTACCCACTAAAAACGTTTAAAGGGGGTATGCCATATGATGTAAGTATAAGGCTGCATTATGTAAGGTTTAATCAAGCTTTACATGCAAATGAGTTTAAATGAGAGCCGACATTCCCATTATGATACTGGTGTGACATTTGCGGCGCGGAGAGACATGCAAGTCATAGGCGTTTCAATTCAACTTAAGCGCACTACTACTTTATTAAATACCATGTCATCTCTTGGTTATTCCTAATACTTAAAATGCACAAACTTACACATACTCACAAGCAAAAACAAACATCACAACCCCCCAAACCACCGCCGCTCAAGCAGTCACACACAGTGGACGACGACCAAGGCCCTATATACCAGGTAGGGTCGTCCGGCGATTCTACCTTTTCGTGACGTCAGCTCGTGACGTCATTTGGAGTCAAGTCTCGAAGCCCCGCTCAATCCCCATGTAAATGAGCGATTTTCGAAGCACTGTAGAATGAAGTCTGCACAAGATATATCAAACTTAAGTATCTTATCTAAAAGAGCAGACAATTTTCTGCAAGTTATCTATTACGTGTTTTTCGCTAAATCTTTTGCTTTTTTCACAAAAGCGTAAAATGTCCCCCCATGTCTCCGCAGCCTCCCTGTCGCCGGCCGCCGCGCGGTCGCGTTAGTGTAGTGGTTAGCGTGCCCGCGCAGTATTCCAAAGGTCCCGAGTTCGAATCTATGCGGTGTGGAACTTTAATTGCAATTCCAAGCTGAATATACGCACATCCATAATAAATTATTATTCGTATAGCTAAACTGTCACCAAACTATCCATATAAATTGACTTCACCCAAAATATCGGCAAGATTCTATTAAAATATAAATTCAAAAATGGCGGCTTGGACTGCCGCGTGCGTTAGGCTCCGCCCATAGCTCCGCCCACATGCGTGACGTCATTCGTGTTAGTGGACACGCAGAGAGATAGGGGACGACATGGGCCTGACGACGACCATCAACGACGACATTATAGAGTTCAGTGACGACGACGGTCAGTAAACAAAATCAGCTGACCAAGGCATCTTGACCAAGGCTCACTAAGATAAATTAGTTTTTTATATTCCCGATAAAAACTGCAAACAACGCAGGCGCACCAGAAAGATACATTACATATTTGTTTTAAATTTGGTTTTAAATAGCACTGCACTGATGTCTACTCTTATATTACATTACCAGTAAAACGCCTTTTGGGCGAAGAACGAGCGAGCGAGATAGTGAGCCCTGCACGTGCGGAAGGGCGAGAGGGTGCTTCCAACGGGCTTGCGCAAAGCACCCTTCTAACTGGTCGCTAGCGGTGTGCCAAATTTGAACGCAATCGGCCCAGCCGTTCCTGAGATCTGGAAGCGGCATTCTGCACGTGCGCACGTGCAAGCGGGGTCCAAACTGACTTTTGCACGGCACCCTACTAACTGGTCCCCAACCGTGTACCAAATTTGAGCGCAATCGGCCCAGCCGTTCTCGAGATCTAGAAACGCCCCCTGCACGTGCGCACGTGCAGTAGCACCCTAACCGTAACACATGGGAATGCATTGCCTGGTGGGTGCCTACCTGTATGCCAAGTTTCAGCGAAATCGCCCCAGTAATTACCGATGTAGTGCCTGTAATTTGGTTGCGCTTTCCCTACGACAGCTGAATGTTTACGTTTCTGAAGGTCGCGCCGCCTCGATATTCTCTCGGCACTGGCTCCTCGCGGCGCGGTGTCATCCAGGCCCATGTCGTCCCCTATCTCTCTGCGTGTCCACTAACACGAATGACGTCACGCATGTGGGCGGAGCTATGGGCGGAGCCTAACGCACGCGGCAGTCCAAGCCGCCATATTTGAATTTATATTTTAATAGAATCTTGCCGATATTTTGGGTGAAGTCAATTTATATGGATAGCTTGGTGACAGTTTAGCTATACGAATAATAATTTATTATGGATGTGCGCATATTCAGCTTGGAATTGCAATTAAAGTTCCGCACCGCATAGATTCGAACTCGGGACCTTTGGAATACTGCGCGGGCACGCTAACCACTACACTACCGCGACCGCGCGGCGGCCGGCGGCAGGGAGGCTGCGGAGACATGGGGGGACATTTTACGCTTTTGTGAAAAAAGCAAAAGATTTAGCGAAAAACACGTAATAGATAACTTGCAGAAAATTGTCTACTCTTTCAGATAAGATACTTAGGTTTGATATATCTTGTGCAGACTTCATTCTACAGTGCTTCGAAAATCGCTCATTTACATGGGGATTGAACGGGGCTTCGAGACTTGACTCCAAATGACGTCACGAGCTGACGTCACGATAAGGTAGAATCGCCGGACGACCCTACCTGGTATATAGGGCCTTGGTGTCATCGTTCGGCTATTTTATTCGTTTCGCTCGTTTTTATGTTATGTGTGTGTAAAGTAAATATAACCTAAATTGTGTTAAACCTTTTACCGATCCACGCACAACATATTGGTGACCCCGACAAGATAAGCAACTAGTTCTTCAACGCAAATTTCGTCCAGTTTCGCCGGCGTGCCGGCAGCGTGCTCCTCCCGCTGGAGTTTCAGAGCGCCTGCCCCCCGAACTGGACCGTGATAACTCTACTGACATTTTTGTGACTGTGCTGTGTCAACGTAATCGTCAGGTGCCCGATCGCAGCGCCGACGATTTTTTTTTTCTCATACACCGACAGCACGTGGCGTGTCTATCGGCCGCCGCCATCGACGTCCTGCACCGGATACTGGTGGCGCCACCTAGTGAGAGCGAACTTCACTACAACTTCAACCAGTCGCCATGGCCGAGTCGCCTGATCAGCCGCCGCCGCCGCCGTCACCCGCACCCGCTGAGACCGCTGCCGCCCCACGGGCTCACGCAGCGTTCCGACTGCCTCCATTCTCGGCCGAGGACCCCGCCCTGTGGCTGGCCCAGGTGGAGTGTGCCTGCCGGGTGGCCGGTATCGCCGACAGCAGCGTCAAATTCGACCTGCTAGTCGCCAACCTGCCGACTGACGTCGCTCGGCAGGTCCGTGACGTCATCACCGCCACCCCGGCGGACTACACGGCGCTGACGAGCGCCCTGCAGGCCCGGCTGGTGCAGTCCCGGGCCGCACGCCTGTCCGCCCTTCTGCGCAACACCCAGCTCGGGGACCAGAAACCGACGCAGCTGCTCCTGCGCATGCGTTCGGAGCTGGGAGAGGAGGCGCAGGACAGCGCGCTTCTTAGAACGCTGTTTCTGCAGCGCCTGCCGCGGGCGGCCACGGCTGCCCTGTCACTCCTCCCGGAGGACACCTCCCTGAGCCAGCTGGCAGCCGCGGCCGACCGCTACCTGGAGGCGACCGGCCCTCACGAGCTCGCGGCCGTGCAGCTCCCCGACCCGACGGCCTGCGCTACTGCTGGCGATGTGCCAACTCTGCACAGCACGGTGGCATCGCTGACGGCTGCGGTTCAGCGACTGGAGATGGCGCTCGGCGACCGCTCCCGCGCCGCCTCCCGGGACCGTGACGGAGGCGCAGTCTCTGACCGGTACCGCCGCCGGTCCCGCTCTCGCGGTCGACGGCAGCAGCCGCAGCAGCTGCAACAGCCACAGCAACAGCAACAGAAGCAGCTGTGCTTCTTCCACCGCCGCTTCGGTGCAGCGGCCAGGAAATGCGCCGAGCCGTGCTCCTGGTCGCCGTTAAACGAGACGGCCTAGGGACATCGGCGCCGTCCCCGGGCCGGGCATCGCCGGCGCCGCTCCTGCACGTGACGACCGGCCAGCTCACCATGATGGTGGACACTGGAGCTCAGATCAGTGTCCTGCCTCCGAGCCAGCTCCCGCCGGCCTGCAGCTTGGACGCGGCCGCCGCGCCCCGCCTGACCGCCGCCAACGGCAGCACCATCCGCACGCACGGGTACGCCGACCACGCAGTGGTGCTCTCCGGCCGGCCCTACCAGTGGCGCTTCCTGGTGGCTGACGTCACGTCACCGATACTCGGAGCCGACTTTCTCGGACACTACCGGCTCTCCGTCGACATGGGACGGCGTGTCCTGCGCTCTCCCACCGGCGAGACGTGCGCCACCGGCGTTCTGACCACGGCTGCGTCGCCCGCCGCCCCGCCGGGCGTGCTCGGCCTCTCCGACGACCCGTTCGGCGAGCTGTGGGCCGAATTCCCGGCCGTGACCAGCCGCTCACCTGGCGTGCGCACCGTCACTCACCACGTGACTCATCACATCCGGACCACGGGTCCGCCCTGCTTCAACCGCCCTCGTCGCCTTGCTCCCGACCGTCTCGTCGCAGCCCGCCAGGAATTCGACCGCATGCTAGCTGCTGGCGTCGTCCGACCGTCGGACAGCAACTGGGCCTCGCCTCTGCACCTCGTCCAAAAGTCATCACCGGGCGAGTGGCGAGCATGCGGCGACTACCGTGCGCTCAACAAAGCGACGGTCCCGGACAGGTATCCGATTCCGTACCTAATGGACTTCACGGCGCACCTCCACGGCTGCTGCTACTTCTCCAAGCTGGACCTGGCACGGGCGTTTCATCAAATCCCGGTGGAGCCTGCTGACGTTCACAAGACGGCTATCTCGACCCCCTTCGGCCTGTTCGAGGCGGTGTCGATGCCGTTCGGTCTCCGTAACGCGGCGCAGACCTGTCAACGCTTCATGGACGAGGTCACGCGCGGCCTGCCCTTCTGCTTCGTCTACATCGACGACATTCTGGTGGCCAGCGCCACTCTCTCGGAGCACCGCGCGCACCTCCGCCAGGTCTTCCAGCGCCTCAGTGACTATGGCGTGGTCCTGAACGCGCAGAAGTGCGTCCTGGGAGCCCCCAGGGTCCGGTTCCTCGGCCATGACGTGTCAGCGAGTGGAATCGCGCCGCTACAGGACCGCGTGGACGCCATCACCGAGTTCCCGCGGCCTACCACCGAGAAGCAGCTGCGCAGGTTCATCGGAATGGCGGCATACTACCACCGCTTCATTCCAGATGCCGCAGCTCTGCTCCGTCCGCTCCACCAGCTGCTGACAAAGCAGCCAGGCTCCAAGAGCAAGAAACTGCTGACATGGACGGACTCTGCTGAGGACGCGTTCGCACGCGTTAAGGGCGCGCTCGCCGCTGCTGCGACGCTGGCTCACCCGGTCCCGGCCGCGCCGCTGGCGCTGCACGTGGACGCATCGGACAGCGGAGTCGGCGCGGTGCTACAGCAGCACCATGACGGCACGTGGCAGCCTCTGGCGTTCTTCTCCCGGTCTCTGACGCCGCGTGAGGCCCGCTACAGCACGTTCGGACGGGAACTGCTGGCAGTGTATCTCGCTCTGCGCCACTTCCGCTACGCAGTGGAGGGCCGCGAGCTGATCATCTACACTGACCACAAGC